ACATTTCTATTCATAATGTGATATTTGTGTGAATTAATATATGTGGTAATTATAATAAGGTAAAATCTAACAACTACACGAAAACATACTAATAATTAATATACGATATGATAAAAAAAATAGCATGATATTAACTAATTTCTAATATAGGTACTTACTTAGTGTAAGAATTTTGTATTTTCTTATATTATGTTTTCCTAACTATTAGTATGTTGACGTACAACAAATGTTTCAAATTACAATATTGTAATCAATAATAATATGAAAAAACAGAGATTGACATTGTTCTAAATACACAATGACTTGAAGGGTGTACATAATAAATGTAAAAATAAAATTTTTGAAAAACCCACGGGTTTTTTTTGCGCATGTAATATTCTTGAGTGATGCGGTTAAACAAATTAAAAACAAAGTTTTCTCCAGCCGAGGTTCACGTTCGATTTACATCATTAGTCCCTCGATATTGTGATTGATGGGTTTCACTTGAATGGATTATACGAGATTACAAGAAACGAAAAAAAGTATCGATTAAACTAAGCTCCATTAAGATTAGTTCACATTTTGTTGATTCATTAATGTAACTACAGTCTACACCACACTACAAATTAAAATTGGAGTCATTCTCTCTCACAGAAAACATAATTATCTGCACATGAACTGGAATCTGTGGTTAATAGATTTAATCGAAGAAAAATAAAATATTGGCTAATGGCTATACAGTTTACCTATTCGTGTAACAATTCAGTACTAATCAAATATTATTTAAAAGTTAAAAACTATAATAATATGGAGCAGACAATTTTTTTTACGTTAGAATTGTGCGATAGATTATATTAACCTACTTTCTTTTGTCATAATTCGATAGATGTCTATAATATTAATTTAACTACTATAACCTAATTCGTCCATCTATTAATCCTTGAAAATAAAATCTGTAATTTATTTTTCATGTAATTGTATTATTTCAGCAATGTTGACAAACTTATAGTTTTTATGTTTTTATTTCTTCAGTGTTACTTCATATTTCGATGTTTATGACTTAACGACAATAATAGTACTATATTATAAAAATAAAAATGTTTTTATGAGAATCTAAATATAAATAGTAGTATAATGGTCATTCAGATCTGCAGAAATGATGTCATTAAATTAGTTCAAAATGTTAGGTGCCTATATACAGTCACTTAAGTTAATTAAAATCAAATATTTTTACTATTTAAATGACTGTAACAAAGAATACGGCCACCGTGTTTTTGTAGTTCAAACATTGAATCCAACTTCTAAAAATATAAATTACAGAACTTCAAGAATATTTTACTAAGTCAACAAATCTTTAGCAGACTAATAAGAAAAAAACAAGGTGCATATTATTAATGTTATTAGTAAAAAGTTTGCACATATTATGCAAGGGTCTAATGACTGCAAATTTTAAACAAAGATTAGCCGTTTCGGACAAGATAATATTATACGCTATAGACGCTAGAGAGAAGGGATATAAAACACGAAGCGTTTATACGATAAATAAACATATTACATACTATATAATATACGTTATGCTAAACATTTTAATAATGCACTAGGATACAAACACATTCTCCACCCCTCTCGTACACACTTGCCGGACAGCATAAGCAAACACACACACACACACACACTCATTCGTACATAATATATAAGTTATATGCATATTATAATGTGCAAGCAAACAACGAGTACAGCACACGTAGCCGTCTGCTGTTAATAATATTTTGTTTAAATAGTCCGACGCGTTAATAATAATAATATCACAATAGCGATTATTTCATGGTCCACGCAGTTCAACCATTAATTATGAAGTTTCGTCGTACGTAACGGACACATAGAAGTGTTTGTTATAATGGAATACTGGGCAAAACAGTTGGGTTTAAGCGATTCCGCATGAAACACACACACGCGCGTATATGGACACGTAATATTTTTAACTATAAAGAACAATGCATGATAAACGACTCGTCGGCAAAACGATTCAGCTGCGCGCAATGAAAACCCTGGATAAAGAAAAATAAATAAATCGTAAGACGGCCACGACGCGCGGCGCACAGCCATGGGTAATAGTAATAATAATAATGATAATAATAATAATAGTAGTAATAATAATAATATATAAAGACTATATCGTACAGAAAGAATGGGCTGTGGCAGTGGCGATGGTGGTGGCAATGGCCTGCACACGAACTGCAAATTGATTTACCGGCACATAAATTTACGAATAAGTTCGCCGCCGATATGTAAGCCGCAGAGAAATACTTCTTTATATACGTACGCGCCTGTCGCCATAGCCGCCATTGCAGCGATTGTATATTGAGCAAACGATTCGTGTGGAGCACAATCGGTTGCGTTTCTCGTTTGTTTGGTAAAATATAATTTATATATAAATGTGTTATACGTAGGTGGGTACGCTCCAAACTAAGGCTCGACGCACATATATATATATATAGGTAATTCCACGAAGACGAGACATACGTTAATTGAAAAAGAGATGTAAGCGATGTGACGTATGGTAAAGATCAATAGCAATCACAATTATAAACCTAACTATATAAACTATAGTTCATATTTTAACAAATAACAATATTATAACAAAAACATATTATTATATCGTCTATCCTGCATGTAAAATATCTACATAAACCTTATGGCGTACCTAACAGATGTTCATTTAAAAATAATAGATTCTTTAAAAGTTTCTAGTAAAAATTAACTTCAGTCAAAGTGTAAAACCAATCAAGCGTGACCAGGAGTGTCATTTCATAAAAAAATTGAAGTGACTTTGAGTAGTAAGCATAACAATTAGCTAATAACCAATAAGCAACCATAATCAGAGCCGCTCTGTAAAATAGCCACTAATGTACTATCTAATAACTGCAGCTAACAAAAAACGATTCTGAGCAGCGAGACAGCGTAACAAACCGTCTATATTTCAAGGCTTATAATATACTTATAAATAATTGACAATACTATTTTAATTTTAGAAATAATATGCAACTCTTACTTAAGAAAAACAATATCAAATATATTATATTATTAATTACGAGTATTGCAATATTATATATAAGATAATCATCCATTATTATAATTAACTTATAAGTCAGTAAAACGTTACTTATAGAGGTGCGAATATAGGTTGTAAAATAAATCTAATACCTATTATGGAAATAATTCAATACATTTTTATTGCAAATAAGTAAAATTAAATATTTGTGCTTTATTTATATATTGAGTACTTTCAAAACTTTTGACTTTATAACTTATAAATACAATATCATCGGTATCTAAAATAAAGTTATTGCCATTAAACATGAAATTTTAAACTCAATAATATCAAAGCTAAAATTATTAGAAATTCATAAACTAAAATAGTAAAATACAATCATGAATTAATTTATATTAACTGAACTTATTGTATAATACATTCTCGTAACTCTAGTATTTGTACATGTTTGACGTAAACTCATTGAGTGTATAAACTGTTCATTATATTATATAGTAGTCCGTAGGTGTTCAAAGTTTTAAGAATTTTTAGTTTGTGTAACAGTAACATTAAATTATTTTTGGATGATTTGTCCTACAGGGATGACAATCGTCTACTGTTATAGACATGTTCAAATGATTTTTATTCTTACTTTAAGTTAGTATGGTGAGTTTTTAATTAAGTTAAATTAAATTCATTAGGAAAAGAGAAACTAAAAAAACTCAATTACACGGGCCTATTAATAATGAAATTACATATGAAATGTTACTACGATGTTTACGACAAATAAAGTGGTATGGAACGTAAAACGAATGGTATTTTGTAAAACCCCATATGGTTTTAATGTTTTCCCTCTTCCTACTCGTAACGCCCTATTTTGCAACACCGCAGCTAGTGTTCTAATACACTTTAAAGCTAAGTTTTTAGACAACTGTGTGCGAAGAAGATTCTCACTTTCAACCGAATTATAACTTCAAAACAGAGACCTTGAGAAAGTTTATCATACGTTTGCCAACCGCGATAACGAAATCGGAAAGTTAAATCACTAGTGTCGTAGGTACTGAAATTTACTGAACTACAAATAATCAGCCATGGAATAAATTTGATAATCACATTAGGAATCAATCATATATGCGTCATATGAGAAAATAAGACGTAAATCCCAGATAACTAATAATTAAATGATGAAGCTATTTCACTAGAGAAAAATGTAGGCGTATAATATAAGAGCTGTGAACAATTCTTTAAAGTTCGAAAACTAAGATTAATATTTACGTGATGCTGCAGAATTGATTTCGAGGTACATTAAAAAAAATATTTTTTAAACAAGTGCATCAGGCATATTGTTTTTAGTAAGTTTCCGTGATATTAATAACTGTAAATTGTAATCTACCTTTATTATGTATATGTAGAATGTATGTTATAACCATGTTTATACATAGCAGATTTTTGAACAAATATTAATGTACCTATTAAAATGAATTGAATTATATACTTATTGAATTAATTAGAATTATTATAGTACCTATTGATTTTTTTTTAGACAAACATAATCTATAGCTATACTAATTATAATTTTAGTGTGTGTTTATACATATTTTTACGAAGACCGGGCATAATTTACATGTATTTTATTATAATAGATCAGGATCATAAAATATAATACAATACCGAGACGACAATTCTAATTTTCAGCACGACAGCAAAATAAATGTCGGAGGTTAATTGAAATACTATATGAACTAATAATCTCGTATACCCACGGCCAATTACAAGGGATACGACGTGTTTGTGTAATTGTCACTATTTATATTTTATTCGCACACATCTTGTACTACCTATTTCATGTATAGATTTTTCGCGTATAGGCACACCTATATTATAATGTAGACGTGATAAACCTACACCACGGCCGTCGCAATCGTCCAATACGCATCTGCTTTATTCAAATACAATATAATATACTCCAAGCGATTTTAATCTTATTTACCTTCCAATGTGCCGACGTAAGCTTTGCCTGGATCAAACGGTATTGGCCGATCTCCCGAGCCCTCGAACACCACGTCGTCAGCGAATAGTTTCTCGTCTGGCGTCAGCAACATTTTGAACGTCCTGCGGAAACAAAAAAAAAATCACACCTTCAATTTCATTTGACACAAAATTTACCGAGTAACATATTTAACGTAGGTACAACAATATTATGATGACGTGATGTTGCATATCGTAGCAAGTGTATAGATAATACATATAGGGAAAATATTACGAGAACACACACATTGATTGATTGAACCCCACGAAACGTAACGATCATCGTGGAGTTATGGAAATCCATCAACAACACTACAACAACCGCGCCTCGCGGAAACGTCGTTAAAAGATATTTTGCGAATTCCTCGTAAGGTAAATGTGCGGAAAAAAATACGCGTATGAATTTATCTTTTTATATATTTTATAATATATGGTCATACTACCATTACTGCAGTATAAGTTCAAAAATATCGAATAACATTTTGTTTTTGTTATTTATGAGTTTGAAGTAATACACGTAAAAAAATAAAACGCTATTTTAAAAATACTCTTAAAATAGTATAGTTTGATACCTATTCAGCAAAAGAGGTAAACAACTTTACAGCGTTTTTCACTGAACAATGCAGTATGTTGTGTATTTACCTTTTTTTGTTCTTGTACGAAGCTCAAAAAGCAATAAAATTACAAGTTATGTGTTCGTTCAATTTTCTCGATGGGTTATATATATTTGGGTAAAGGCATTTAGAACTATACGCAGAGAGTATGGATGGGTATGTAAGCACGATAGTAAGTCTGTTGGAAAATATTGAGTTGTATAATGTGTTTATATGTGAATATAGATAGGAACTATTTTTCCAATTTAATACTTCGGAGCAATATGCAACCATAAATGCATTTTCTGTACTTTTTGAGCTCCAGGTAAACCTTTTGAAACTTATAAGCAATATAATTTTATCAAATATTGAAAAAATATAATATTATACGAGTTGAATATAATACTATAGACATAATATCAGTGAACTTTATCTATAGATCAAATGTTGTTTGTACGTACTCTTTCTTCTACATGACATAATATTATATATTGGTTCAACAATATTATTTTATTAAACTATTACAACATTTATGATTCAATAACAATTCTAATAATTGTTTACAATTATTAAAATATCAATATAATAATTTATTTATTTTATTTCATATGAAATATTGAAGTTTTTTTATTTCTTAAATAAAATGCTATTAAACAATATAATATATTGTATTACATACCAAATTGTAAAACTAACATTTGACTTTTATTTTCTGTAACCTGATAAAATCTCATATGATGCGTTTTTTACCTGTCACCTGAACAAATTCAATTGATTTAGGATCTCAATTCCAATCACGGTGAATATTATACACGTGTGTGTATCTTATACGTTATTAGGTTTATAGAATAATATTACACTAACATAAATACATAATATGTAATATGACGTGGTAAAATATCATCATAAGTAAATAATAAAGTTATAGCCTGTAACCTGTATATGCATTGAATTATGTTAAAAATAAGATATTAATTTGCATATTATTTCACACCTTTATCCCCAGCTTTATATGCTCACATATTATAATCGTAAGTGAACGAAAATTGCATATTATTACCTCACAATAAAGCGTGTTGTGGAATTTGTAAACAATAGCGGGGAACGAAGTTGAATGTAGAGCTACAATAATAGTAGTAAGTACCTATATTATTTGATGGAAATAAAATCTAAGAACATAAACCGCTTTATCGTAAACGGTAAATGCAGTATTTAATAATCAATTTTTAAACGATTTATGATTTTATTGGTAAACATGCGTATACAATAACCGTTTATAAATTGCCTGTTTGTCACAACGTTTTTTTTTTCAGTATTTACAACTACACTTTAATAACAGGTTAGTTGACTCAATAATCGAAATTAAATCCAAGATATATGAGTAATAGTACAGAATTACATTTGCTCGTTTGCTGCGTCAATCCATAATAAAAACAAGGTTCATTATTTATGAAGAACACACGTATAATAGCCAATAGGTACTGGTAAAATGATTTAAGAGAAATCTACGATTATTGTAATAAATGGGTTTGCGCAAAACTCGGTGGCTGGTCTAATATCATCAATATCTGACGCTTGACCTATATACCGGGAAATGAAAATTAGAACGGCTTCGGAAGGAAGCCAAATAACTAGTGCGTTGTTGAGGTGAATTTGAATATGGGGCACGCATCATGGTTCTTAATCTATATAATATATATACGGTAAGGGTATATTATTATTGTTCTTGTTATCATTATTATTATTATTATTAAAGCGTAGATACTCCAGTATGTATTTTAATAGTCGGCATAACAATAAAAGGAAATAATTAGAAAAATAAAATAATAAAATAATACATGGTCCACGCACATCGCTCGACAATATTTTCATCACCAACACAACAAAAAAAGGAAATAATTAGAAAAAAATAGAAAAAAATATTATAATAATAATAATAATGTGCTCAGTGCTCATCTAGACAATATTATATAGGTTTTGTCGAACGATTGGACAAAGAGATCGGTGAACGACCTTCCAGTTTTGAAACAATGAAGTACAGTCGTGACGTCATTAGCATGGTAGGTATTATTTTATATGAAACCTTCGATACCTACCTATATCCATGTTATATTATATTGTTCTGGTTTTCACGAGAACTGCAGTATGAATAGAACATCGTGGAATGAGAACGAACCGTATAGGTTTAGCCGGTGTATAGATAGTGTTGTCATCGGCTTTATATATTTTGTGTTGTGTTCGTTTTCATTTGTTACCGACGTTATGGAAAGAAAATAATAATATTAAACAGCGGAGACCTCTACTACAATAATTTACTACGGCGCAAGACCAGTAACATTCACTTCCTTATTGGAAAACTGTTGGTCTTATTTATTTTCGTTTTTGTTTATCGCACATGATAAGTCTATTATTGCGCCAGTCAAACAATAAATTGTGTAATATTGTTTGTACGTCTATGAGTATATTTATATAGTGGTATTATATAGTACTACGGTGTACCTATACTAAAAATAACCGGATACTATCATTTTGTACCAATTTTGAGTTTATGTAATAATTATTATACCGTAGATGTGAATCGTCCTACTATTATTATGCTGTTAAATTATTTTAAGTAAGTAATGTTTCTATTAATTAACATCATGCGCGACATGAAAAAAAAAATTATATATAGTTCATTCGGGAGTAAGGAGTTTAAGTATCAGTGTACACTGCAGGGATGTGTATATACACATTGATATTACACCTCACCCCCCTAGACAAGAAATATTAACTGTAGAGTATCACGGAAAAAGATGAAAAAATGTTAATGTTTCGAACAAATCTAAAACGAAAGGAAATTAACACATCTGATCACTGCAGATTGATATTGCATAAATTATAGTCCTTCGGAGCCGTATCAAAATGAATTTATTCATGAGAAAAAATGTATAAAAGTGTGTAGGTACTAGGTACTTGTTTTATAATTACCTACTTTTTTTCGAGGACACGTCATATGAATGAAAATATCTTAAAATGTGAAAGTACACGTAATAGGTGGATAAATATTTTTATTGTTATGAACTATCGTATTAACATAAAAAAAGGTAGAAACGATAATCGATTGTTATAAAGAATATAAATATATCAAATATTATGTACTGCCTTTATCTACAGCAGCGTGCGCAAGATTCAGTCTGGTTCAGGTTTTCAGCTAAGATTAATCAGAAACCCACCGGTTGGGGGAGGCTTCTACCCCATACCCCCAGCTAACTAGAATATAATTAATAGCACCAATATAAAAATTCAAAAATTATCCCAAATACTTATTATTATATTTCCTTTAACTGTGATATTTTGTACTTAATCTGGAAAAATATATGATTATAATTATAACATAATCAACATTCAATAAATCCACAAATAGTAAAACAATTATAATAGGGTAAAGAATTTAATAGATAGGATGTAGTTTATAGTTGAGCGAAGTTTAACAATAGTATGTAATAAACATGGTAATAATTATTGATAAAGCTATTACGGCAGACGTTTTAGCAATATTTTTTTATCAGTCAAAAAAAAAACCAAAACTAAGATCCTCGGTTTTATTGAAATTTCATAATTTATTTTATACCCATTAAAAATGATAAATAATATTCATCTGTGTATTTATTATTAGCTATGATGGTAAATAAGATATTTTATCTATTTATACGTACTCAATATATTATCTTCTATGTATATAGGCAAAACTCTTAAATATACAGGTAGAACTGTTAATAATAGTATAATATACAATATTAAAATATAAAACAATAATACATATTATGTTGAAGACATTTTAACATTTTGTTGTTTTATCACTATTTTGACAGCAATGATGGTAATGCTCTTGACATTTAAGCTATAAGATGACCTTTAGCGAAAATTCATTTTAAGCGACATTTAAAGAAAACGGAAACCCTTTTTCATACTTTATAATAATATTATGTAAGCACAAATTCTACAGAAGAAAATATTATTGTTAACATGAACTTTATACATTTTGTTCTATTTTATATAATGTACCCATATTTTTTTTATAAATATGCGTAGGTAGAAAATACACATAATAAGGAACAGTCGGAGAAACTAGTTGACATTGGAAAAACCAAATGGCGAGTATTTGTATGACGATACTTGGTCTAAACACGATGTGTTTGTGGTTTGATCACTTCATTAATTATATTTTTTTATAACATTTATTCACACATAATAATATTATAAGAATTGTAGACATAAATACAACACGGTATAGGTCTACTTTTTAATCGTTAGACAACAGACAAGACATGTTTTTATTTGTCATCGGTACATTATATAACAGATATAATTTACTTGAAATAGTGGCCAGTGGGTGTCTAATTTATTAAAACGTATGGTTAAATAATAACAAATTATAATTAAAGATATAAATGTACAATGATATTATTAATAACACTTTGAACAGTTTGAACATATGACTATGAATAT